GGGGGTGTTACGGGCCCCTGGGTGAGGGGGGAGGGGGTGTGGGTCGGGGAAGAAAGGAGAGGTGGTGAGCGGCAGGGAAACCAAAGCTTTCGGAGGGATGCTCGGGTGTGGCCTTCGCACACTTTAAAGCGTGCCACGTGGGGGGGGGGTTCATGCAAGCCGTGCAGAAATCATTCCCCTGGGGACCTCTTCACAGTCCCCGGGGGACCCACCAGGCCTTCTCCAACTGCCCCCCACTTCTCCACTCCCCTCTGACCCCGACCCTTTCCTCTGCCGTTCACAGTAGCTGGCAGGGCCCCAGACCCTGCCTTCGGGGGGGGGGGTTACTTTTCCCCCACTGCAGAGGGGCCCCTCTCCGATCACAGATTCTAAACGGGAGACATCCGAGTACCCCTTGTGCGCCGGGGCGTCCTGTGACCTCCTCTGCCCCTTGAAGGTCCCATCGCGGAAGCCCCGGGGAAAGGCGGGGGAGTTTCACCTCCAGAGCCCGGATGATGGCCCCGATCGGAATCCAGCTTGTCGCACGACTGCGCCCGCCGCGTCCTCTTTGGTTTGAGAGGGGCTGCCTTCCTCCCCACCTCGGGGTCCCCTGGAAGAGAAACGGGAGCCTTACGAGAGCCCCGGATCCCCCTCTCTCCCTCCTCACCAGCAGGAACTAGCCCTCCGGGAGGAACTGGCTGGGAGGTGCCGCAGGGTGGAGGCCTAGGGGACACCTGCCTTTCTCCAGGGGAGTCCACTCCCCTGCGCCTTCTCCGTTTTAACCCCTCTCTCTCACACACACCCCTTGGGAACACGGCAGGAGCGAGCCGCTCCACTGGGGTTGGTGGCTGCTCATGTGAATGTGGCCCCCCCTAGTGGTGATGTGGGGGGTGGGGTCCTGCCACTGTTGCCTCTAAGCTGAGTTCGTGTGAGCTAGCTCACCGTTTTTTTAGCCTCCGGCTCACACATTTTTGCCTTGGCTCCGGAAGGAGGGCTCCAGAGCGAACTGATTTCTGCAGCAGCCAAATCGCCCGCCCACCACTTTAATGCCGGTCGCTCGCAGACTAGAATTTTTGCTCACCAGACTCCGCAGCTGAGAGGGAACATTGCTGGAGACCCCCCCCCCCCCCAAGGTCCACGTGCTACAGGCCTGCTGAGGGCTCCCAAGGCCCTTGCCACCTTCAGAGGCCAAACAAGACGAGCCAACGGTTGGATCAGCCACCTGGCTCTCCACAAACAAACCAGGATGCCGTGATGGCCACAGACAGAGACCACTTTGGAAGGGGGTGAGGCAGACTGACGGAGGAGAGGTCGATCAGCGGCTACTAGCCGTGGTTACTGAAGGGAACCTCCACGTTCAGAGGCAGTCAACCCTCTGGATCCCAGTGCTAGGAGGCAACGTCAGGGGAAGGCCTTGGACTCCGTGCATTGCTGTTGGACCTCCAGAGGAACTGGGTGGTCACTAGATGCTGCCAGGCCCGTAGCTAGGATGTTGTGGCTTGAGGGGCACATTTTTTCCTGGTGGGGCTGAAGTTCTCAGTGCAGAGAGAAAAGCCATAGGAAGCTGTGACCAGGATAGCTCTCTCAACTGCAAGCTGTCAACCACTTTAGACAACAGTTCTCAGCTGCTGCAAGTTAATCACTTCTGCCAGCCTAAGAGACCCTTCTGATAACAAGCCGGAAAGGTGGAGGTGATGATCTCTATAAGAAAGCCAAGACTTTGGCAGGGAAACTCTCTTAAAGGAGACCAGTTTCTTGACACGGAGTTCGAAGGGATCCTAGAGGTCACCTACTCCAACCCCCTTGCTCTGTGCGGGAATGAGTCAGCTACAGCACCCCGCTCTGCTCCAAGGAGCAAACACCTCTACAAAATGTTTTTAAACGATTGGAAAAAAACATTTACAGGAGAAATCCTTGTGGGGCTGTGCCTTTAAGAAAGGGGGCCGAGCCCCCCCCCCCCAAAGCCCCACCCTTGACATAGGCCTGGATGCTGCACTAGATGGACTACCGGTCTGATCCAGAAGGGCTCTCCCTGGGTTCTTAAACGAAGCTGCCTAGCACAACATCAGACCGCCAGTCTATCTAGGCCAGTTCTGGCAACCCTGACTGGCCCTCTCGGGTCTCAGGCAGAGAACGTCCCTCCAGGAACTGGACTCTCTGCAACGCATGAGCTCTACCTCTGAGCCCCGGCCTGCATCAGCCAGTCTCCGGGCTTAACCGGAGCTCCCCTCATGTGGAGACACTCCACCGTGCCTCTCCAATCTCACGTCACCTTCGTTCTCCGGTTCTTCGGGTCTGCAGCGGGGCGGGGCTATTGGGGGTGACGTACGTGTATCTTCCGGGGCAGCCCCTCCGGCTAGGCCTGCTTCCTCATTGCTTCGGCTTCTCTCGGGCTGGCTGGGGGGTTTCCGGCCCCGGGGGAGGGCGACAGGTTTGGGAGGCCGCGGTGCGGTCGAGGGTTCCCTGAATTGCTGAAAGACGGAAGCGACACAAGGTAGGTGGGGGGGGACTCAAGTGCACCCTTCTGGAACTGCCGTGAAACAACACGGGAGAGCCAGTGCCGTATAGTGGTTAAAGCGTCGGGCTAAGATCTGGGAAACACAGGTTCGAATCCCCCCTCGGCGATGGAACCTTGTTGGATGACCTTGGGCCAGTCGCGCCATTTTCAGCCTAACCTACCTTGCAGGGCTCTTGAGAGGATAAAATGGAGGAAAGGAGAAAGATGTGAGCTGCTTCGGGCCCCCATTGGGGGGGGGGGGAAGGCAGGATATAAATTAAATAAATAAAAAAAATTATGCCCGCTTTCTTTACCCCAATAAGAATCCTGTAAAACTCGAATGCTGGCATATCCTTATAGCAGCATAAAGATGTCCTCCAAAGCAGACTATTTCATATTCCCTGCTCTCCTGTTTGTGAGATATCTAGAACAGGTCCTACAGCAACAGTGTGCTTGGAAACAGAAAGCGCTGGGCCTCTGACTGGGCCTCTGTGACCATTTGTGCAGCTACTTGGGATGCCAACGCCCCGGTGGGAATCCAAACAAAACACCCGTGACAAAAAGAAGTCGATAAAGATAATATGCAAAATTGTTTACTATGATGATCTACAAGCCAATAAAGGTTGTCTGTCTGTCTACTATGATAATTCTGTAGAAAACTCTCTTATATCGCTCACACGCAATGGATTTTGCGCAAGGTAAAAAATATTCGTTTCACAGGATTGCTTTATCTGAGCGTGCAGCAGTCACAATTCTTATCAATGTCCACCTATCAACTCTTGAAGGAAGCACCCCATGTTGACTCTCTTCACAGCTGCGCAAAATCCGTTGCGTGTGAGCAATATAAGAAGAGAGTCTTCTACAGAATTGTTATAGTAAACAATTTTGCATATTATCTTTATCGACTTCTCGTTATCTTTGTCACATGTTTTGTTTGGATTTCCGTCTCCTCCCGTGGTCTCTCTCTTTTGGCTTCAGTGTCCAGGTGGGGCCCATCTCCAGGCAACGGAGATCAGTTTCCCTGAAGGAAGTGGCTGTTTTCAGTGAGGAGAGGACTTTATGGCATCTAATCTCTGCAGAGCCCCCTCCCCAAACTGCCCTTCCCAAGCTCCACCCTCAAATCTCCAGGCATTTCCCAGCCCATAGTTGGCAACGCTAGTATATACTGGTATGCAAGCTGGAAAAGGCATTAAAAAGGTACAAGGCATTAAAAAGAAACAAGTACGTGGGCTCAGGGATACCGGTTGTGGAACTCTACATAAAGGAAAGAAGAGAAAAAAAGACAAGAGGAAAGAAGACAGAGAAGAAGAAGAACATGAAGAAGAGAAAAAAAGACAAGAGGAAAGAAGACAGAGAAGAAGAAAAACACAAAGAAGAGAAAAGAAGATGGAGAAGGAGAAGGGAGAAGAAGACAGGAAAGAAGGAGAATGGTGAGAAGGGAAAGGAGAGGACCTTCTGCTTAAGAGCCCCTTAATAAATCCACCCAGCCAGGGAAAGCTAAATCCACCCAGCCAAGGAAGAAAAGGGCAAACGGGTCTGATTTCTGGTACCCTTGCAATGTTGTTTTAGATGAGAGCAACCCAGGTGTCCGTGAGTACCCACTGCCTCTCCAGGCCCAGACGCTAGGGAGAGGCATCTCCCAATTTTGCAAATGAGACATGTGGCTCTCGCCGCAATAGGAGTGTGTCCAGTTTGGCGATACAGTTCACTGCAGCTCACTGCAAATTTTCTTTGCTCCAAAATCCCTCCAGCCACCCAGGCCACCTACAATTCTCCTTGTCTCAAGGAACCCAGCTTTCTCCGGAGTCAGACCCTTCCCTCGGTCTCTCAAGGTCTCGTCTACTCTGACTGACAGCCACTCTCCAGGACCTCCTTTTTCATATTTTTAATCATCTGGGAAACTTCTTGTATTGCTATTGTTTAATTTAAGATTTTTCTGTGTTCTGGATAAAAGGAAGTCCTCCTTCACCCAAAGAGTGATTAACACCTGGAATTCACTGCCACAGGAGGTGGTGGCGGCTACAAGCATGGACAGCTTCAAGAGGGAACTGGATGAACATATGGAGCAGAGGTCCATCAGTGGCTCTTAGCCACAAGGGATAGATAGGAACTCTGGGGCAAGTGATGCTCTGTCTTCTTGGTGCTTGGGGGTGGGGGGCAACAGGGGGAGAGCTTCTAGTGTCCCGGCCCCACTGCTGGACCTCCTGACGGCACCTGGTATTTCTGGCCACTGTGTGACACACAGTGTTGGACTGGATGGGCCATGGGCCTGATCCAACATTGGCTTCTCTTATGGTCTTATGGTCTTAAACTTTGTAGTCAGAATATTCTCTTATTTCATTTTCTGAAAGACACTTCATTTTCTACAATCCTGAATGAACATTAATAAAATGTTCTTTTTCTTATTCTGCATAAGTAATTTGTTCTCCTTTCCTTATGCAAGCTATTACTCCTTTTTCGTTCTCCTTCCGAAGGCAATACACCAAATATCTGCCAGGTTTATTCACATGTCCCAAATGCCTCTGTTTTAAAAGTTTCATCCCCACACCTCTTTTCATTTCTAACATATCTAACTGGTTTTTCAATTGTCTCATTTTTGCTAATATATTTTTATTGGGATTTTTTTAAATGCAGGATCTTGATGGGAGACTTAATCTTTAATCATCCTTTAATCTCCCCTGTTTAAGCATCCTTAAAACATGCTTTAATCTCTCCTGTCCAAACCAATGTGATTTAAAGGTGCTGAACTCTGCCTGTATCGTGGCCTCTGATTTGCAACATCTTGCTCATAAAAAAGGTCATTCACGGCTGGGTCCCGATCCTTTAAACTGGAAATGCCGGGGATTGAACCGGGGACCTTCCACATCCAAAGCGAGTCCTCTGATCACCACGCCACAGCCTCACCCATCAGATCCATCCGCTCACCTTCACTGGTGCCATCAAACTCTCCTTCTCGGAGCTGGGGGTCGGCAAACCCCCACTCTCATCTGCCCCGTTCTGCCTTCCTTCCTGGGGGGTATCTTGCTGGGGCTCCTGTCCCCTGGTTTCCCGCGGGGAGCTCTCTTCGGCTGCATACGTGGGTGAGCGCAAACAGAAGAAGAAGAAGAGATTGGATTTATACCCCGCCCTTCACTTGGAGTCTCAGAGCTGCTTACAAACTCCTTTCCCTCCCCACAACAGACACCCTGTGAGGTGGGTGGGGCTGAGAGAGCTCTGACAGAAACGGCTCTTTTTCGTAAGACTCATGCAGATGGTGACTTCGTGCATGGTCATTACCTGCTAATTTGTTTGATGTATTGTTTATTTTAACATTTATCAGCCGCCTTTCTACCTTATAGGAACTCCAGGCAGCTTACAATGTAAATAATAATATGATGAAATACAAAAAACCCGCTAATGAAAATCAATAACTTAGAACTTCCAATAAGCAGAACTAATCAAATGCCATCATGAATACAGTCCTGACAGCTTTTTCCTCCAGCCCCCCACCCTGCCGGACTGACAATCAACATAGTTAACTGAAAAACTCTGAGACAAGAAGAAGAAGAAGAAGAAGAAGAGGAGGAGGAGGAGGAGGAGGAGGAGGAGGAGGAGATTGGATGTATCCCCCGCCCTGCACTACCCAAGGGAGTCTCAGAGCGGCTTACAAACTCCTTTCCCTTCCCCTCCCCACAACAGACACCCTGTGAGGTACAGGTGGGCCTGAGAGAGCTCTGAGAACTGTCCTTGAGGGAACAGCTCCGACAGAACCATGGCTTGCCCAAGGTCATCCAGCAGCTGCAAGTGGAGGAGTGGGGAATCAAACCCGGTTCTCCCAGATTACAGTCCGCACACTTAACCACTACATCAAACTGCTGGACCACATCAGTGACCTTTCCCCATTATCATCTCTGGGAAACTCAGAACATGATGGACATCGGCATCCGCATTTATTCCCAGCGACTGGTATTCAAAGATACACTGCCTTTGCACATGGAGGTTCTGCTGAACTGTCCTGGCTAACGGTGGTGGAAAGCGTTGTTAAGTTGCAAGCAATCTCCGGTAAACCCGTAGGGTTTTCAAGGCAAGAGACCTACAGAAGTGGTTTGCCATTGCCCGTCTCTGCCTAGTGATCCCGAACTTCCTTGGGCAGGGCCGGCTCACCCACTAGGCGAACTAGGCATTCGCCTAGAGCGCCGGGCCCTGGATAGGGCACGAGATTGGGCCGGCCTGGGCCATCCAGGTCAAGGCAAAACACAAACAGAGGTGGTTTTTCACTACCTGGGTCTTCGTAGCAGTCCCGGATTTCCTCGGCGGCCTCCCACCCAAGTGCTAACCGGGGTCCACCCTGCTTAGCTTCCATGACCTGATAAGATCAGACTAGCCTGAGCCATTCAGGGCACAGCCTCCTAGCTAACAGCCACTGCTAAAAGCCATCTCACGCCCCCTAGCTGGCACCGTGTGAAAGAACAGCCAAAGGATGTATCTCCGCGGCAGCCGGTGCCCTGAATAGGGACACGCCCAGCCCGGACTCACCGATGGCCCAGGTGGCTTCAGCCCGACGGATGGTGGCAAAACCCGGCTTGGAGCCCTGCGATGGGGGGTGGGGTCTCCACCCGCCTTGCCCTGCGTAGTTTAGAAAGAAAAGAGCCAGCATTTTCACAGACACCAGAGACCAAGGCTGCAGACAGACAGATAGACAGCTATGGGAAAGAGGCCTCATCGCTTTTCAGAGGGTAGCCATCTGGGATGTGGTAGGACAGCCATACTTGAGTTCAGAGAGATCAACAAGATTTTCGGGGTATGAGCGTTCGAGAGGCAAAGCTGCCTTCATTAACCCTGATGGAGGGAGCTTTGGTTTTCGAAAGTTCGTACCCAAAAACCCGTATGCCGAAAATCTTGTTGGACTTGAATCTTCCTGCTCACCCATTTTACAGAGAACTGGGAGAAAAGGTCAAGGGCACAAAGTTTTCAAGTTGCCCAAGGTCACCCCTGGGGTACAGACCTTGAAGCAAAGCAGGAAACAACTAGTTTTGTCCAAAAAAGTTCACATTCTGTGTCTTATCATAATTCTTATGTTTACAATATTCTTAGTTATGAATTGTTTTATAATTGAACTAGGAAAAAGGCCCGTTGTGGAAATAATCACAACGGCCTCTAGAAAGAGGCTCTGGGCGGGTGCCCCGGCCTTGGACACAGTGTCAATTTGCTATGGCGACCTCAGCAGGGTATAATGACACTGAGTCCACCATTTTCTCCAGAGGAACTGATGTAATTTTGATTGATCTCCAGGAGCACTACCTTCCAGATGACGCGCGGCAACTCCAGGCATCTGATCGGGGAAGCGCTGGTAGCCCGTCGCAGCCAGCGCCGTTCCCCGTCTCACACATGTGCACAAACGCACAATGTCTGTTTTGTCGCGCTACATCTGATCACCTGCCAAAGACCCGAGCACTGAGCCACGGGGGTGCGTCGAATCGCGCTACCGCGGTTCTTTTTGCTCCGGCTCTAATTTGCCTCCTTTCAGTGGCGCAGTATCCCGCTCGTGTGACTGGGACCTATGATAATTTCAACTGTATTTATATATTCACTTTTATGTAAGCCACCCTCAGCGGGGAGGACGGGGTATAAATTGAATAAATAAATAGATAGTCTTGGGGTTGTTTGGCGGGAGAGAGGGGAGAAACTGTAAAATACTGATTTGACAAGTCACCTACTTAACATGATTGAGTTAACAATTTTTAGGAGCAAGATATTACAAGTTAGGGGCCACGATACAGGCAAGGCTCAGCACGTTTAAATCCCAGTGACTTCGACAAGAGGGATTAAAAACATCTTTAAGCATGCTTAAACAGGGAAGATTACAGCAAGATTAAAGATTAAGTCTCCATGAACCCGATCGGAATTTGGCTGACTTGTGTCTCTGGATTTTAATCGGATGCTGAAAATTCGGTTTTAAATTTGCGAAAATCTGAATTTTTGAAATGCACGCAACTCTGTAGGCAGTAAAAAATGTGTGTTACGTTCCATGCGGGGACTGACGGACCAAACATCTCTAGGAACCGCACTGAGGAGATTAAGATTTGCTTAGGAGACTTGGGGAAAGAAGCAAGACTCATGCCAAGGTCTGGGGAAGCACTATAACCTGAGTCATCCGAGGAGCGTCTTCTGTGTTGGTCCCGCATACTCCCTCCTCGCTCCAAGTCCACGCTCTGGAACAAGCCAACAAAGCACGTGAGTCCCAGGTGTGG